AAAAAACTGGGAGGAGCATTCCCTTATAGATAGCTTCTACTTCAAGCTATGCTATTTTTTGGTGAATCTGATACTAGTCATGCCAGATAAGGGTTAGTGGATTATTATTTCAGTTTGAGAGTACTGTTGTATGTTTTCTTTTCCTCTCTGCTGTGACGGAAGTATGCGTTAGGCTTACCAAGTCTGTATGAGTGAATCTTGATTTGTAACTTACACTATGATGATATCAAATACGGTTTTAATGCTTCAAAAATTGGTGAGCTCTATTATTTCTGATTATTTTCTCTTTTAAAAGACAGTCAATGACAGTTCAGTTGTGATCAGTACATCCACATATAGTACAGGATGAAACAAAAGTTATAATGCTTGTTTCTCCTTGTAACTTTTTTCTCTACTTTTGAAGGAGATCTCTATAGCAAGATATATAATGTAACGTCATTCTTGCTTAGTTCTGTATTAATGATAAACACTGACAGTTGCATTTTGTTTCATGAGGTCCAGGAAACAGGCTTTAGGCTTCTTTGGGAGAATGCCATTAAAGTTACTGAAAAGCACTAACAGTATGCCATAGAAATGCTTTTTTCTGCACGGGCTAATAATCCAGAGTTATTGTAAGTATCTGATGTTGTAGATGAATACATATTTATAGTGAGAGAATAGAAGGAAGTTTGCTCTGTTCCCCTGCAGAGCAGTAGTTAGAATATGATACATAGTTCAGTCTGATCAACTCCCAGTTGCATAGCTGCCTCTGCGTGCCTTTCAGAAAGGGCGTTTAACACCTTAACGGCATTTTCTGTGTGTAGCAGTATTAGATCAAATCGATGCAGTGCTTGAAACAGTTGAAGAAATCAGTATCATTAAAACTTTCCAAACTACTCAAACAATTAATGCTTCCTGGTGGCAGTAAGAAACATATTTTACTATTCTGTCATTTCATGCTTTTCAAGTAATACATTTCTGAGGGATCTACTTTAAAATCAAGCCTTTTTAAAGCAGCAAGTTACAGTACTTAAAGAAAAGCTTTGTATTTGAGTAACTAAAGTCTCCACATTGCGATCTGTAGCTAGAGTGACCGTAAGTAAATACTTCAGATGTCATTGCCCTTTCTGTCCTGACTATTTTGGTATATTGGAAACTGACTTGTCATATTAGTAAATTTTGAAAGAAACATCATACAAATTGGCAGTGCTCGGTGATATAATTTGATCAGTACAGAAAAACCGGTGATATAATTTGATCAGTACAGGAAAAAATGAATTCCTTCAACTGTGTATTGTTTTTTGTAAAGTGTTGAGTAGATCAGCAGTACTTAACTTCTGATTATTACAGCAGTATTAGTTATGAGAAGATACCAAGATGGTTTACTAGTTGAAGAAGGCTGTAGTGTAGAGAATAATGGAGTTGAATCTGCAGCAGTAGCTATTCAGTGTGGTTCTTCTAAAACAGCAGCCTAACAAATTGAAATTTCAAAAAATAGGAAAACAAAATATTTCTCACTTTTCCCTGATGGCACTCATCTGTTGCACGTTGCTTTTCTCTGCATTGCCCTGTCAAACATTATTTGTCCTATTACTTCCTGGAAAGGGCATATATTAATGCAATGGATCTGATTTTTAGTAAGGAACACAGTTGGGTATTCCAGTGCAGTATCTCCATACTTCTAAGAGGAGAGATGTGGTATACCTGTAAAAAAGGTATATTTGGTTCAAGAAGATGCTTTTATTTTTGGATTATGAGAACTTGGCTTTTACCTTCGAGTCTGTCTGCAAGACTTATCTACTTCCCTGGGTATTTCTGGAGGGGGAGATCAGATTTAATGATAGGACAGCCTTGCTAGGATTGTAGCAACTTTGGGAAGTTTTCTGTTGTACAGTTTGCATTTGTAAAGAGTTTGGGAAATACGCCTAGAAAATTTGATGGAAACTTTTGAAAGATGTTGATAAATAAAAGCTTTCCATTTCTGATGTTTGTCAAAGATCTCTAATTTCCCAAGTCTGTAATCTTTACATTTCACCTTACTCATTTTTAGCATGTTTAACTCCCTCCTATTTGCTACAGCAGTTTGCCACCTACATGTCACTCCCTGTTTAAGATGGTAACCATCTTTTCTCCCTCCTACCTGTTCTTAAGTGTGTAGAGGAGAACAGTCTTCTATCTGTTCTGTCTTCTTATCTATAGCAACTGGTGGTTTTTTTTGTTTTTAATAACAGTCATTGCAATTATGGGAATCAAGAATGAAGAAATCACACTGAATTCTGGACAGAAATCTATATGTATATATTTGTTGTTGTAAAAATATGAGTGTCTCTAAATGAGGTTTGTTTGCCCTGAATGCGCATGGAAAGCCACCATTCTGTTTCAGAAATGTAATTTGTTGCTTCTGCAAGTTCCTCTTAAACTGGTTGGTTCAGTCCTTCAAGAAATCCTCCCTCACCTTTGTTACAGTCTGTCTCTTGGGTCTTTTCGCGGCAGGCTTATCTCCTGAGAACTTTTGGAAAATCATTCCCTCTCCCTTATCACTGTAAATTTTAAAGCCTTTATCTGGGTATAGTCTGATGATGACTTAAAATATTATTTGTATTTTTGGTAAGTTACTGGTCAAGCAGGGTAAACTATTATTCATGATTGCAATCTGCTATGGAAAAAAGAGTGGCCTTGCTTATTTTTTGCTTTGCATTTTTGGGGGCTTTTTTTGCTCTCTCTCATAGCTGATTTCCAGAAACAACTTCAGGAAGTCCTCTCACTATTAAATATGTGACATAATGTTCAGTAATGCCAGTATTCCAATTTGTCTTGTTTTTTTCCCCTAAGTGTTGGGTGCAATTTGAGGATATGGTAGTGCCAGTGTAATCAAAAGTCTTTTACAGACTAGGTCTGTAATTGAGAAGCTATAACTGATATCCTCACTTTCCTGTACCAAGAAGGCCTTAGTTGCCTCAGAGCACCTGTCCCATAGAGTCCTGACAGATGTCTTAGTATATGGAAATCCTGTAATCAGTTGATGCTCAGTTGAGTAAAGACTTCTCAAAAAAGACAATACAGGTAAAGGCAAGAATGTATTTATTTAATATATTTCTTTGAGTTAAAACAAATATTGACTATATTGCAAAAGCAGAAAATGCGTGCTACTCGGACAGACCTGGCACCTCTTTCACTGTATTTTGTTTCCTTCAAACTCCTATCGTAGATTTATCTTCTGTGTTGTCCCTGTTTGTAGTAGACCAACATGTGGCTTCAGATACTGCAATTGCAGATAAAAATCTCTGCTTTCTTGGAAGGCTATTGCAGCATGTTGTGAATGAGACAGCTCAGTGTTCGGGTTTTTTTCATAGGTGTACAAAGCACTTCAGATACTTCTATATGTAGTTTTGGCAATAAAAAATTGAGCTGTATGTATAACCGAAGGCATCATTTGTGCTTGTAGTATGCAGTTACTGCCTTTTTCACATGCCTTCATATTCAAAACTTTTTCAGGTTTTTTTTTTTTTAAGAAATGTCAGTTTTCTCATATGCTGGCATTGATAGCAGCTTAGTGTCATGTCAGACCTCTTACTAAGGGTTGACAGGCATGCTTTTGGGAGTGAGTAGTTTACTTCATTTGCCCAAGGAATGAAAATTATTTCAACAGTACCTATGAAGGTTAAGATGTAGTAGGCTTTCAGTTATGAAGCAGAACAGTGCCTTACACCACTGTGTCTAAAGAAAGAAAATTTGGGTTTTTGCTCATAGTTAAGTCTCTCAACATTAGCAAATAACTACTGATCAAGTATTAGGAATAGTACAAAACAAGCTCCTTGATGAATATATAGGAAACTCAAAACGGTTACCTAATAATAGTAATACAAGCAAGATGAAGTTCCATTCAGAGCTTATGGATATTGGAACAAAGACTCTGCCTTATTAGGTGTAGAATAAGTTTCACTTTCTTGACTGCTACAATAGAAGATTTAATTTTTCTAACAGCTCTTTTATGCTGTCTGTGTATTTAAAATTATACCTGCTTTGTAGTGTATTAGTGAACTTAGAGTAATAACCTGGGAACTGGAGTTATATAGGAATGAGCAAATAAATAGCAGTGGATTTTGTTGTAAGAATTGTCCAGTGTTGTCATATTGCTAAATGTAAAGGCCTGCATCCTTTCCTCTTTCCATTTACTTGTCTCTGTGTGCAAATTAAAATCTCACTTGGGGAAGCATTTAGGTAGGACGTCCTCTGTCATGACCCAGTAAGAAACAAATTTTGTATTTTGAAAGCGGTTAAAGGATCCAAGATCATTAATCAAATGAAGGGATTTCACAAAATGCATTTAAATGAAGACGCTATCTCGTTATCACCATTGTATGTTACAGTTTACCATAATAGAATATGTAGTAGTGGGCCTGAATCAGAGCCTACTGAAATAATTACGAGGAGCTATAAAGTTCTTTTAGAAAAAAGTACAAGGTGGCCTAAATGGTAGCTGTAGTATTTCAGCTGTTAAGAGCTACTTTGAGGAAGTGTAAGCCAGAACGCTTCCAGATTTTTCATGTATGTAGTTACTAAGTTTGTATCCTGTGTGTTAAAGTTTGCAGGTGTTTTCATAGTCATAGTGACGTTTCTGTTGTTATGTTGCTCCTCAGATCTCACATTCATTGTGTAGTGGTAGATTAGTAGCAATTGGAGAAAGCGCAACAGATGTTTCTTTAACAGTTAAAAATGAAATCCACAGCAGGTGGCAGTTTGGGGCTGGAGAGCCATTTTTGGCAATATCTGAATGGTAGTGTTAATTCTTCAGCCTGATATGCAGATACAGAATACAGTTAAGAGTTTTGGGGTTTTTTTAAGAAAGAAATCTAGTTGCTAAGGCAGCTGAGAACTGAAAATGAAAGGCAGATGTATCCGTTACTTAAAAAACAATGAGTTTAGTTTCTTGGACAGCAAGTGATTCCTTTTTTTTTTTTTTTCCCTTGTTTTACTTACATCTGAATTAAAGAGGAAAAAGTAAATTACATCGTCACACACTATACATTATGGATAGCTTGATTTCCTAAATAAATAGCAGTATATTTTTAAGCATCTTTGCTCTGACAAGCCATCAGTTTAATTGTTACTGACAGTTATGGTTTTAAATGATGCCGCCTTCTCTGGTAAATTTTACATGGAAAGCCAAAAAGAACCAGGTTTGCAAAAATCATCAGAAAAAGAACTCTTGCAGTAGACTTAAGCTTTGTTTCCTACCTCGTTCTTCTTGCTGATGTCATTAAAAATAAAAATACGTTGCTAAAACAAAATTGCAGCCATGACATAAGGAAAAATGTGCTCTTTTCATAAATTCTTTAAAATAATGAGCCTGTACTTAGCACAAAAAAGCCTCAACTGGTAGGAATAGCTGTATTTACACGTAGTCCTTCAGGTTGTAACCTGCATTGTTCTCTTGTTGTGTGGATGGGAAATGTTGCTGTTTTGTAGGGTCAATCCATGGTCCTTGCTGCTTTTTAAAACAGGAAGTGCAGAAAATCACACCTGCAATAAGCAGAAACCCTGCTGCAATGAATCCTATATAAACAGCTCCTCCTGGTTCCTGTTTACTGCTCTCTGGAACGGTTGCATCCATAAAATTTGAAATTATTTCTCTTGTGTACCAGGATGTTGGTACTAATCCAAAGATTCCAGAAAGAATGAAGCACACTCCTCCAGCAAAACAAGTGTGGCTTTTGCTGTCCGTGTCCCCTCCCAACTTTGTGCATTTCATTCCAACTGTAGTGATGCAAATCCCAAAGGCCGATAGGATGCAAGACAGTACCATGGTGGTCCTGGCAGCCTGGACGTAGACAGGGAGAGAGAGAACGGAATATTTCAGGGTACAGCTAAACATCCCAGTGCTGTACCATGTGCAGTCCATCCAAAGTCCTTGCATCTGCGTTATAGCTGTTATGATATTTGAGCCAACGTCTGCGTTTACCTTCCAGTTAGGTAGGAGAGTGGCTGTGATGTCTCCAAAAATGCCAAACAAAGCTAGAATAAAGGCAAAGAACTGCAGACCTGCTGATGCCATGAGGATTATTTGCTGTCACCTTTTGTCTGCTTGTTTCTCTCTTGCAAACGTGTGCAACTGGTTGGTAGCTTCGCAGCCAAGGCTGTAGCTGTCTGTGTGATGGGGAGGAGGGGGAGGAGAAGGGCAGGGGGAAAGAAAAAGAAATCAGCAAACAAAAGAGCTTGCATTTAAAATTAGAGCTATCCGAATGAATATCTGAACGTGACCCTGCAGCAGATGAGAGCAGCTGAGCAGCTGTACAGAAGGTACTTGAACATAAATGATGACAAATGGACAGTGTTTTAGAATCTATTGTAAAAAGGAGCTGCCGTTTCATACACGACTGCAAGCCATCAAGCATAACTTGTTTTGCTGGAGTTGTGTTCAGTAGTATTATGCAGATCACTGGCTTACTAGGCAAAAATGTATCGTAAATGAAACGTTAAACACTTACAAATTTAGAAGCCATTCTGGAAAAATACTGTGGTGGAAAATACATTTTTACTCTTAAAATACCTCCCCTTAAGCATGTAATAGATGGTTGTAGTCTATTGACTATTTTTATAACTATGAACATTGATAATATTATCTTTTGTTTAAAGTATGGTTAAAAGTGACCCTTTTATTTCAGCTCTTGAAACATTATCTGCTCTTCTGTCTAATAACTGTCCCCAGATTTAAGGCTTTTGAGAGAGAGAGAGAATGAGATGGTATTAGATTTTGCAGTATTTTCACAATAAAGTGGCCACATATGTAACTATGTTTCCTAAATTAATGTTTTATTTTCAGAAGTATGATTCTGAGTCCTTGACTTAGAGCAACAGTCTTGTTCAAGAGTCTCTCACTAGAGAGAATAAAATGTACTTTTCTCTCTCAAATAAAATAATCTTTTTTTTGACAGTGATAAGGAATAGCTTTACTGTATTAAGTCCATTTTTTCAATCGGTCAGTTCCCTGCCTGAAATGACTGGCGAATTCGCCACATAGTGTCACTTTTAAAATTCATTCTAAAACTATAGTCTACTACTCTTACATGAAGGGTCAAATCACAGGTGCACAGCCATTTTATCATGCTACTTAAATGTTCTTGTCAAATGTGAAGACAGAACTCTATTGCTGTTACATCAATTGAGGCTTTGGGGTAGCAGATGAAGTAAAATGGTTTGAAGCCTGTGTGACGAGGATAAGCTCAAGGTGCCCTGCATTTAGAGTTGGGTGTGTTGTGTTTTTTTTTTTTTTCAGCTTGACAGAGAAAGGGAAGTCCTCAGTTTGGAATATGATTTCTAAGACCTGCTGTTTTAACCAATTTTTAACTTTTTCTATTGTGTAAATACAAACAATAGTACTAAAGTGGTCTTTAGTATTAGAACTTTTGGGAAACGCTGAAATAGTAGGGGATAAAGTTGAAATAAATGGAACACACAATCTCGTAGTGTTCTACTTATTTCACTTTATTTTATATAAGATGGCTATGTTTTGATGAATATGTGTTCTTTCTAAATAACAGTTTTCAACAGCAGTATGTATCGAGTGATCCTCTAGTTTTGTAGTGTAGGATTAGCAGTAAACTAGAATTTATATACTGTATTTAGTCCAGGTAATTATTCAAAGATGTGCTATCTCCGTCCAGCATACGTATTTTTAAAAGGCTTACAGTTAAGATGAGAATGTTAACAGCTACTCAGTTTTAAAATACTAGCTCAAACACCTGCCTATTTCAAAATCCCTTCAGTGCGTTCGAACTGTAAAGAGTTTGCTTTGACAAATGCATGTTGTTTGCTGTATCAGGCCCCTGGGAAAGATGGCTTAGCTTCCTTTTGCAGAGGGAACTGACATGTCTAGATAGCTCAAAACTCATTCAAAAGCATAGTCTGGATCAGCTGATTAGTACCTTGAATTAGCTTTTTTCATTGCTGCTTTTAAAATTTCAACGTATTCAAACATGCAAACACCAACCCACAAAGCACTGCAAACAGTAGTCGTACGTTATAATTAATGGGGTGAACTAAATCAAAGGCATGATAAATTCAAGTATAAGCACTGTAAACTGTAATAAGAAATACAGTTATTTTACATTCCTCTTTGTGTAGCACTTACTGCTGGATGTGAGGTCTAAGATGTTTTCTTCACTGTAGATGCCCTGGAAAAATGTAATTTCTCTTGAACAGAGCTATCCCTTCTCATATAAAACTGTATTGGCATATATTAACAAAAAATTCTGTGTTGTTTTTTCTCTTCTACAGCAAGTGCAATACTGCTGCTTGTTCCCTGTCTTAGTTCCATCTACCAGAGAATAAAGGATTACTTTGTTTAATGAGTTTTGTTTGACAAACACTTAGTAAGGGAAAGCAAAGAGATTATAGAGAAAAACACATATTTAGGACTAACAGTTTCCATATAATGACACATAGATTCTATGATGAGAACTGCAAACGGTGACAACAGCAAGAAAATCTTTAGAATCCAGAAATTGTGTAGACTTACTTATTTTTAAAAGTGAGGTTAGAATTCATTTCAGCTGCACTGAGAGCCAGAACTAGAGGGTGTTTTTTTTAATCACATATAATCTTCTTATGAGTTTACATATGAGTTTTCATTTCCTCGGAAAGAGCTATGCAGTATGTTTTAATTTGTAATTGGAAGAGCAGCACATTTCTTCTCAGCTACAGGTTTTGCTTTTTTCTCCTCGATAGCCTTAGCAGTCTGTAGGTTTTCCTTTACTCTCTTGTCCTTACGTGAGTCTGTATAAGTGAAGGAAGTGATAAAACCTACTGGTAATGCTTATATGGTAACTGTAGCACAATGGTGGAGTGGCTTCAGCAAGTCAACTGTGAAATCAAGAAGTTAGGGGAAGAATCTTATCGATTGGAGCAGTGATATAACCACAGGTTCTGCACCTGATTTTTGCTTTCCATGTGATCTTGTTTGTGTTACAAAAGATTTTGGGGAACAAAATTGTTTTCTTTATTTTCATTTGCTGATGAAGAACACTTTATATCCTCAGGACGTACAGAAGCTTTCCTTTTGGGCAAGGTGAAATTTAATAGCTAGACCATTGACCCCTCTGAGAGAAGTTTCTATAAACTCTGCTTGGCTCTTGCATGATCATTCAGTAACTGCAGTATAACTTAATGTAATGTATACATTTTGACATGACATAATTAGATGTTCTTGGGAGGGGGAGGGTTTCCTGCTTGTCAGGAGCTTTCTGCAGTACTGGAAAAACTGATAAAAACTAATGTAAAAAAGAGAATTAGTAGCTAAGTTCATAAATAACTGCAGAAACGTGTCACGTCTCATAAATCTATTTGGAGTTCTTTGGAGCAGTCAAGAGAACGTGTGGACCAGAGCGGGGTTTATCTAGGTTTTCAAGAGACATTCGTGACGATCCTCACAAGGCTCTTGAAAGAGCTAAACTCTCATAGGGTAAGATGAAGGGTCCTCATCGGAATAAACAGGTGGTTGAAAGATGAAGAAAAAAAGGGTAGGGTCAGTTTTCAGAGTGAATGGAATTTAGTTCAGTAGTGGAATTGCACAGCAAATCTAAGCGAACGCTTGTACTGTGTAACATAAAAAGTCTGGAAAAGGGTGAAGACAGGCGTGACACATTTTGCTCATGAAAGTTATTCAGAGTAGTAAAAATGAGATCTTACTCTGAAAAATTGCAAAGGGACCTTTATAATACTGCTGACTGGTAAAACAGCAAGTTAAAATTAAGCATGAATAAAGTGACACACAAGGGGCAAACCACTTTCACTTACATATGCAATAACAGCGACAGTAGTCTCTGAATGTACTAATCTGAAATGAGGTTTTGGGATGGCCCTTCCATAAAAACAGCTCAGTTCAGCAAGTAAAGTCCCAGGAATTAGTAGGAAAGTACTGTGCTACCCGGTAAAGCCACATCTTGATGCTGTCTGCTGTGTCTCAAAAAAGTGATTAGTAAGGCCATCCGAAGTCTTAAATTCTGTATGAGAAACTGTAAATAATCTAGAGCCTCTTTTGGAAAGGGGTTCACTATGAGGAGGGTTACATTGGAGGGCTGGAAAATTTTAAGCATCACGAGGAAGGAAAATACTACCTTTCCCAATATGATAACAAGAGGTCATATGTTGAAAATAGCAGAAGACACAGCTACAGCATGAAAGGACTGCTTTGCATGATGTATGTGTAAATTGCAAAAGCTCATTGCCACAGGATATTGCAAAATGCACAATGACTGCAGGGGTTCAAAAAGCAACAGGGCCAAATTCCTGGCAGAAAAATCCCTTGAGATTTAGTAAATGTGAAGGCATCATTTCTGGCTCAACAGGTCCCTGTGCACAAATCACAGAAGGGTGGGAGGGCATCCTGGACAAATTCTGCTATTGGTTTGACCTGTTCTAGTACTCTTTCTCTATGTGCATGTTGCAGGTCACTGCTGGAGACAGTATTTAGTCTCGATGGACCTTTGATCTGAACTTACACACTTGTTATTTTATTCATATATTCTTAGTTTACATCAGTAAAGCTCACCAGTGCCTTGGCTACTTGAAAAGTATTTGGGGAATGAGTGTTAAGATACATCAGATGTAATAAACTTTTGTCTAAGAAAGGACAGCTTTTGACCTTTGGCTTTACCACTGTTCTAACTGAAGAAGTAGGGAGGGACGTTAGATGAAATTAAACACCAAGAACAAGCAAGAAATTAACATTTAAGTTCTAATTTTTGAAAGCAAAACATTCTAGGGAACTCTTCTAAACCCTGAGTCTGATTTGAGCCTTGCACTAGTGTGAATGGAGCTAAATTATTAGAAAGTTGTTACACAGGAATTAGTCTATTGCTGTTAGTGCAGTGGCATGGTTATTTTTTGCTAGAAGTGAAGCAATGAAACCCTCACATCAGAACAAGATAGCTGTGAGATATGTGTACTTGGTGTTAGACCTAATGTTCATTTCTGTGGTAGATGGATAAAATCCTGCTACTAAACACTTGGTTTGTGAAAATTCTGGCTTAGAGGCACCTTATTTGGAACACAAGCAACTTGTTTTAATGAAGTTTTACTACGTTCTGCTAGATTTCAGTTCCTTGTTAGAGTAAATGACGGTGTGGAAAAGGATATATAGGCTTGCTTTTAATACAGCTTTGTTGCAAGATACATGTATTGCCTATCTTAAGACCTTTATTGCAAACAATTAGTGAATGTGAAAAATGTCTCATTTCAGCTCATTCTGATTTAGAGTGTTGATTTTATCAGCCAGGCAGCAGACTATTCTAAATTAAATTGTACTCTGTAACGTGTTCACACTATCTTAGAATATAAACAGCCTTCATTGTACTTGAAGATATACTTGAACACATGAACAACGAGGGGAGAATAACAGCTACGCTATTGAAAGTTCACTATAGATCAGTTGAATAATTTGTATATTGATTATTTTGTAAGTATTGAGTATGATTTTGTAAATATTTCTAATATGGTTGGGGAAAATAAAAAAATGTTACTAATAAAATTATCCACAAATAACTTGTGTACTTTACGTCCCCTTGTGTATATAGACTTTCATAATTCTGCTCTCTATTTTATGCATATTTAAAAGGTTAGGGGAAAATAGCATGTATAATTCTACAGGAGTGGCCAATTACAAGTAAAAAGCTCTCTCCTGTATCTGTTGCCGTAGTAACCAGGCAGCTTTCCTGGGGTTCCAAAGAAAACAGTGCCTACAATGGAGCAAATGCTGAGAAGTACTGTGTTTTGTTTCAGAAGCAGAAATTATTGCGCACTAGCCTTGAGACTTCAAATTGAGTTGTTTTTCTTTTAAGTAGTACACTGCATCTGGATTGTGAGGGTTTTTTTTCCCTTCAGAAATTTTTTGTTACAGATGCGGCTCCTACTTCTGAAGAGAAGAGTCCTCGTATCTCACTTAACAGCAGTTCTGCAGAATTGAGGGGACTATGCAATCCCAAGTGGTCTCTAGTGACTTTCTTGTCCTGTTTTTTGGGGTAAATACATTGTTTTACTTCACAACAAAATTGTAAATAAACGTATACGCATGTAATTAAGTCCTTAATATTTCTGTACAAGGAGCTGGATGGTCATGTGAAGTATGCATTTACCCTGTGTAAAAAAAAAAAAAAAAAACACACTTGCATATCGAAGTGCTATATTTCCCTAGTCATAAGGCCCTATTTAGGATTATGGGTGATTTGCGTTTACATTTATCTGTTATGGATGCCCATAGGTTTTCGCTGCAGTCTAAACTTGGAACCACACTTTAGTTTTCATTACACTGTTGTGAGTCTAAAAGAACAGCAGCTGAATTTTTCTGATTATGCATGAGCTCCCGAGTACCTGATCAGATCAGGTGTCTCTTGCATAGACAGGTACTTCAGGGGAAGTTGTGAAACTATTAGATGTAGGTACAATAATGTGCCTGTATGGGAAGTTTCCAGTCTCATGCAATGAACAATTTGAGTGGTGTTCAGCATTATTTACGCATCTCTGGCATACCAGTTTATTCCTCTCCTTTCTAAAAGAGACATTTTGTATTTGGCCGCCTGTTTCAAACTTGCTAAATAGAAAAGGGAGGCACAATCGGGAAAGAAAAAGAATGCACGCAGAACGAATTTAATCTTAGGGTGTAGATGTTGGCTTTTGTTTGCCCCTGGTTACAGTGAAGACATTTCTAGTTAAGGTTTTTCAGTATCAGTATTCCAGTTTTGATCCGCTCATTTCTTAACACAATTAGTAGTTTTGTTGGAAAATCCTGTGTGTGGACTTTTTATCTCCTTTTGTACCTTTTTCCAAGCAATTTTATGTGACAGTCCTGAGTAGGACATGTAATATTCTTGACAGCTGTTAGGGCAGCTACATGCTTTGAAGCTGAATATCATTTATGCAGGGATCTGATCCCAAGTGAGTGTGTTCCAAAGCAGAGCATACACAGGTACTTTTTTACTGGGCCCTCAGAGAAGTATAGTTGCATTCTGCAGCTACGGCAGTGGTCATACGGCCATTATTTCAGCCAGGCTAATCAGTATGGGTATTTTACCGTGTTTAGTAGCGATATTGCTTCCGTTCTGGAGGAGGTTTGGTTGCTGGCAGCCTAGAGCACCCTGTATCAGACTGCAGATGACGTAGAAA